TGCCTGGCACAGGACACGGGAAACCCTTCCCTGATGGCCCCGGGGCAGGGGCTGCGGAGGGTGACAGGAGCACACGTCCAGCTCTGCAGATTCCAGCGTCATCCATGTGTGGGACTCGGTGGCCAAGGCTGTGGGAACAAAGAGCGGCTTTGACTGCGCACCGCTGTGGTGAATTCCTTGGATGCTTTCCTGGGCTGCAGCCACTGCACAGGGAGAGCAGGGCTCCCAGCAATCTCCTCCCCCTGAAAGCACTCCATTCACACCCAGGCTGGAAGGAGGTGAAAGAAAAGGCCGTGCATGTGTTTAAATGCAGGGGGGCCCTACCACATGGGGGGCTTGGATCTCTCCCCAAAAGCCTCCCTGTCCAGCAGGCTGGGGGTGAGGGTACGCAGCCTGGCTGGGATCTGGGCAAGCAGCTGAGCTGCGGTCGGTCTGCTCCGCAACGGCCATAAATCAACGGAGACACATAAGCAAGGGAGGGAACAAAGGACATGGAGAGATGCCATGGCATCTGGCAAGGGAGGGCTGCGGCGGCCACGCTGGAGGATTGTGTCTGAGGAAGGGCTCTGACCAAGCCTGCGAGGGTCCCGGCCCCACACTCTGCAAGGGGACGAGAGCTGCCCCCGCTCTCTGCTGCCTCCCCCTCCAGCCCAGCCCTCCAGAGAGACCCTGCCGCGCCGGTCAGCAAGGAGCACAAGGGGAAGGGGGACGTGGCAGAGCGTGACATCCCGCCTCACCCGCGGCCCTGGCAGTGCTCCCGGGGTGCCTCTGTGGCACGCCGCGCTGGCCTACCATTGATTTTTCCACCAGGCTGCAGCAAGCTCTGGTGCGTTTATTGTGAGTCCCAGAACTCGGACAGAAAGACGTGGACTGCGAGGCCACTAAGCAGCCTGCTTCCACAGGCAGGAGGAAACGAGCTATGCCAGGGCTGGATAACACTCCTCCTCAAGCTTAACCCAGACCCAGATCCTGCAGGAGTGCAGCAGACCCTGGGGTTGCTCCTGCTCAGGCTGCGGCAAGGGAAGGGACGGGGACCGGGGCAGAGTCTGGCAGGGCTGCTCCCTTCTTACCCTCCTGTGCTGGCTGCTGGGACCACCGGCGCCCAGCGCAGAAGCACGGCGCCTGCCGCTGCTCACAGAGGGGCTGGCGAAGGCGCTGACCTGGTGATAAGCAGTTATTTGTCTCATTGGTAATGAGTTATTACTCAGCCTCAGCTAGACACTGCCTTAAGGGAGGAAACGCGATCATCTTTTAATAAACACAGTTGGCTCCTGCGAGGCTCCTGCAGCTCCTGTATCTAGAACGCGCTCCAAGACACATGGCTTATGCATAGATAGCGCTGCTATGAGTCACAGTCTGGGAAAGGGTGTCGGAATCGTTGCTCAATAAATAGAACAAAGCAGGGAAACCTCGGGTGGGCAGGGATGGCACAGCCCCACTTCCTTCACCGCACGGCACTGGCCTCCTAAGGATTTACCCGCTGGAGACAGAAAGCGAGATGAAAATGATATCCACGCTTTCTCTCTTCATCTCAAATCTCCCGCAAAAGCGCCGCGAAAAGGAACACGTCCGTGGAGTACAGGGTCTACCGGCGGCGACAGGCTCTGCTTCCACGTGCTTGGGGAAGATTAACACTGCAATAGGAGTGCCACAGGCTGGCTTTGCTGAATCTCCCATTCAGCAAAGAATGGGAGATTCTTTGAATAAGAATTCTTCTATTCTCTTCTATTCTATTCTCCCTATTCTTTGAAGAATAGGGAGGAGAGCACCGACCTGCAGCCTACGGCGTATTCCCACCGGAGCAGGGTGCGACCCCTGTGCAGGATACCCACGGTGGGGAGGACATCGCTGTCACTGTGTCCCTTCCCAGAGTCCCAGGTGGTCACAGAGAAGGGGGAAGAACACTGTGCCAGGGAGGATGGCTAGTTCTGCCTGCTAACAGAGTCACGCACCTCCTCCTCCAGGTTTACACCACACTCTCCCCGCAGAAGAATGAATCCTAGATAACGTCTAGTAGCTGCATACATGGAGCACAGCTACCAAAAACCAGCCTGTCTGCCCTTCAGCATTGCTTTTGAAAGGCCACATCTGGAAGAAATACTTGACATGAGGCATTAAATAACTCGGTTGGTACAAGAGAAAATAACGTGACACTCTCCCCAACCACAAACCGCACCATCACCCGCAGTGAGTGCACACGCTCGTCCGCAGACACAACCCTGCACCCAGCCCTCCACCACAAGCAGCAGCCAGCACCTCCGACTCCCCGGCAATCACACATTTTCCGAGTGCTTGCAAGGCAGAACAGCAACGAATACTAAATTTACATTTAAATATCATTTTTGCCCAAACACATCTGGAAGCAGTTTCTTTCTCCAGCTATTTCCTTCCCAGATACCTACCTTCTACGCAGTGCCCCAGATCCAGATGTTTCCAAATAGCTTCCTGCTCCCGTGGAAGCTGAGCAGCCATCCTGGGAACGCTGTTGGCCTCTCCAGCACAGAAGCAGTTAACACTCCGAGGCATCATGCAGGAGGACACCTGCGCCTGGTGGAAACTGGAGACCAAGTGGAGCCCAGCCATGGAAAAAGTCAAAGCCAAAAGCTGGGTCAGGCAGCTGCAGGCGACAGAAAGCTCCGTGTTAAAACCTCACCCTGCCCTCAGCTGTGTAGAGGGAAGCGCTGCTTAACTTTAGGGAGCTGGTATCTTCCAGAGCTACATGGTATCAGTGTCCATCGCAGAGGTTAGAGAGGTGATCAGGGCTCAGTTTCATTGCCTGATTGCTAAAGGCACGAGCTACAGCTTCTTTTCCTTAGCCTGAGAGACAGGACTTCTGCTGCAGACACATCCTAGGAAGCATCCAACTCGTTTTCTACTTGTGTGCATCAGTTCCAGGGCACACTGCCCCTCCAGCCCTGTTAGGGCCTTCCCCCCCCCAACCCTGTGCAGCGAGGGGCCCCAGCTCCACAAAGCTGCAAGCGCTTTCCTGGAGCCCCAGAGTTCAGCCAGACCAGGAGCGCAGACCCTCAGCACAGCACAGTTGGCACTGAAGCCCTGCAACTGCACTTGTTGAAAGGCTGGCTGGGCCTGCTGAAGGAAGAGCATCATCTCAGCTCCCCCCAGAGCAGCAACCTCCGCTGCACTCCAGCACTGCCAGGTTACAGCAGAACAGCAGGGTGTAACAGCCGTGCTGCTGCTCGCTCGGGAGGTTTGGGTTCAGCTAGGACTTAGCGTGAGTCATGGCTGTCTCAGCTCAACTTCCCCGCCTTTCTCATGCTGGCAGTACTGTCCCACAGCATAGCTGTTACACTGCTGTGGGTGGCAAGAGCCCACAGCTTTCCCAACATACCAGCAGCAAGGCTACAAGCCCAGATTTAGTTACAACAGGACCACAACAGCTAGCTGAGGGGTTGCTCCAGGGCAAGCCCACAGCACCAGGCATGAAACAACCGGTTCAGGCAACCAGCAAGAGTCCCCAGTCTTGCCCTTCTGTGGAGCAGAGGGTGGAAGCCTGGAGGGGAAACCTACTTCCCTGCAAAGCAGAGGCACACCTTTGTGTACAGGAGCCAGGACCCCACTGCTGTACCACCCCATTTGCCTGAAGTCATTAAGAGGCTAGACAGGGCCTTCATAATGAGCTTACTGTGCACAGAAACATCCCATCAGGGCAGCAGCAGGACACACGCCCCTCGATCCCTCCTTCTGGCTGCATTTGAGCCAAGCTGGGGGTCAGCACCAGCATGGATGGGCACGTACACCCTCCAGGCTGAGTTTCTCCTCTACAGACCTGCCTCCTTTGGGTCATCAGCATCTTCCAGGGCACAAAAGTTGCTGCTCACCCTCTCCAGACAAGCAGTTTGGGACAGCTGGCAATGAAGGAGAAACTAGAGGCCATTTAAATGTGTCAATTCACCTTTAATGTTTGAAAAAAATAAATGGTATTTGAGCCATTGCAGTTATGAAGGGAACAGATCTTGCTCCACAACAGACCGTGAACAGGTTCACATTAGACTCATGCTTGGAAAAAACCAAACCCAGAACATTCTCCTTTCAGATCCAGAGCAGAGTTCTGAACAGACAAGACCACAAAGTGCCCCAGACAGTCCAAGGCACATTACCCCAGTGCAGACATTTCCATCAACATGAAGTTATGACAGCTACATTCTTTCTAGTTACAACATTGTTCTATCAATATTACAAAATTAGGCATACTTTGGATTTTGCACAGAGACAGAAGGACTTTTACTTCAGGAAGTAGTCAGCCTGGGTCAGCATTTCACAATGAAGAGCTCCCTTCACTCTGCCCTTCCCCCTCCCACCCCCCCCACCCCAGTAGTGACTTATTACCACACCAAATTAATCCCAGAGACACACATTAGGCTCACCAGACCAGCGACATCATCTGTGCGTCAGTGTGCAAACCACCACACAGATTTATGACAAGCACCAGATATTTACTTGCCATCAAACAGCATTTCTCCACACCCAGAGAAAAAGAACTTCCTGCAGCATAATCCAAGAGTCAGGACATACTAAGACAACATCACTGAAAGACATTTGTCTGCCTTCGAAGCAGATGTCACAGGAGTTTCCTTCACACAAACATCACATGTAAATTTAACTTCTTGGTACTGTGCTTTAAGAACAAAAGCAGATATCGGAACATGGAGGACAGTCCTCCAGAAATAGCTTATCAGCTACGGAAAATTAAGAAAATGAAAGAGACAGTGGCCACTTACAAGTCTTCCACATAACTAGCTTGCTTTAAGGAGAGCATCAAGTTAAGGCAGTGTTGAGACAACTGGCTAAGAACATGCCAAACAGAGCTGTTGTCAGGAGTCACCAATTTGATATCCTACTCCATTTCAGGGATGGCTCACGTGGCTTTAGATCTCAGTATCAAGGTCTAAAGACTTCAGCCACGGGATGCTGCTTTCCACAACAAGCAGCAGCTCAGGGGGATGCTTGCTGAAGTCTTCTAGACCAGGCTAAGTTGCTTACAAGTCTAGGTCAGTGTTCCAGCAGAGCCAAAATACAGAAAGTAATGGGCACTAAAAAGAACACAGAGTGCCAGCTTCAAGTCTGTTTGTCACAGTCTGAGGTGGAGTTCAACTGGTGTGTGAAAGCCACATAGTCAAGAGCCACCCCACCAGCTTTCAGGTAAGGTGTAAGTACCTGCACCGAGGTTACTGGAGAGCCAGCTCTCTACAGTCTGCGGGGTGGGTCAGAGGCTCACACTGGCTTTGCTCCTCGTTACAAGATTAACAGTCTAATAAAACTCAGTAAGGAAGTCAGGGTCTTTTGGCCTGCCCAAAGAAGTTTTCCCAGCCTCAAAGAAGGAGTTACCACTGAGGGAGCTGTTGTGGAATAGTTTTATTTCTTCCCACGTAAAGGCCATTGTTTAAGCATTTACAGGTTTCCTAGTGCAATACAACCAGAAAAAGCAGTAACGAAAAAAATGCCGCCTTCTTCCCAGGCAACTAAACAGAAGTAGATTTTTTACTGCAACATATACACATTAAATATAGTATACAGTCCATGCAGCGGCATAGCCATGTTAAAGGGAGTCGTGGCTTCAGCCATCAGTGCATTACAGTCCAAATTTCACTTGCTCCTGCTTCCTACCCAGACTTGAAGAGAAGAATTGCAACCTGACCCAAGTAAAAATAGATGAAGTGCTTTGTCTCGTGTGTTACATAGCTGCCAAAGTTTCTGCCAACAATGCAGTGCCAAGTTGGGTTGTATTTCTTGTCAAATTCCTGAAGAAAGAGAAGAGAGGTATTAAGACCAAGAAAGCCCACACAAACACAGTTCTAAGCACAAATTTTTCACTGGTTCTGTTCACACACTATTGTCTCTCCTCCCACTTGCAGCATCTTTACATTCCCCATTGCAAGACACCATTATATTAAGTGAGGTAGTGACTGACACAACCAGACCTCTGCACTGGATGGTCTGAAGGATCCAACACAAGCAAATCATCTCCTGGGACTTGGAGCACCCAAGCCCTGGGCAGAAAGAGCAGCGTTAGGGGCTCTCCTCAGTACAATGCTACTCAGACCCTGCATGTAGGCTGGCTCAGGGGAATATTTCTCCTCTCCCATTCCAAGCCCACTCACAAAAAAAAAAAGAGATTTTGGCACGCCTGCTTCAGCAAGGCATTTGAGCTTAAAGGTCACCTGAGGTGGGGGAAAAAAAAAAGAGGGAAGGAGAAGCCTGGCTTCTGCTATCTGGCACTCTTTCACATAAAGGGGAGAAAAGCTGCCTTGAAAGTGAGGAGGCAAATCAACAGGCCAGACAGCATGTGAAGACCTAAGAGGTCAGAGGTGAGCAAACTGAATGCTGGCTTATGAATTAGGTCTTCTACTTGCAGGTAAGACAGGGTTAAAGACCATTTTCCTCCCTTTAATTAATAGACAACTCACAAGAACACTCCTCCCTCCCCAGAGACAGGGCCAGAAGAACAGACTCAACACAAGATTAAACCAAGTGTTAGTCCCCAGACAGCAGCAAGACAGTTGGAGCTCTTTGCAGGTAACCTTTGAAGCGAGGAAAAGGTTTTCCTGCCAGGGCACGAAGGTGCATCAAATTGCTTCCCTCCTCCCAACACACTCTCAGGAAAGAAAGGTCAACTTCTTTTCGAATGCCTTCTGTGGCACTCAGTCACTTCAAAGGCTGCATTGCCCCAAGCACTTTGAGGTAAGTCTTGCCTCCAATCAAAGTGATCTGAGGAGTTAGGAGGCACCTTTGAATCCTTTGCATTCAAGCTCAGATTACAAGCAAGGCCCAAAAGCTAACCCAGGTGCTGGGTATGAAGTCACTTTCCTCCTCCAAAAGCACTTTGCCAAACCATTCGGAGAAGTGGCTACAGAAGGAATTGACAGCTCCCCAGATGCTATGAAAGTATGAGACTTCAGTTAATGGGCTCTGGCAAATGGGGAGACACCACATCACAAACCAGGGCACCTGCTTGCACTGTTATAAAGCAGCACCTTTCACAACCCTGCCAGCCTGCACAAGGGCCCACCCTCCTCCACACCAGCCACCCCAGCACCAGGAACCCAGCAGACAGAACTGCATGTGCACAGCTGCTTGCATTGGGTGAAACAGTAATCCCACTCTGTGCTGGTACTGCAAGTAAAAAAGCAGCATCCATGGAGCAAGTCCTAAACAGAGACTGCAGCCAGCTCTTTCTAGGCTGGCAAATCCAGGGGGACAGCACTCACACTGCTTACTCAAAGCTTGCCAGAGCAACAGACCAGGCCCTGCTCTGCCATAGCACTCCAACCTTGGAGAAGTCATTCCACCCTCTTAGGAATAGCAGTAAAGCAGCAAAGAAGAAAGCACCTTCTCCCTCCAAACACACGTGTGTGAAGTCTCAGACACTCAGTCTCATGACAGGCATACATACTTAAGGGCTTCAGAAGTTTCAGACAGAGCAGCCCCCTCCTCATCCCTCAGTTACCTTCTTTATATATGCTGCAATGTCCTTTTCTATGTTGTACTTCTCCATTGCCTGTGTAGCACAGTCTACAGCATCCTGCTGCATGTCCTCGGACATGTCCGCATTCTTGATCACAGCCTTTCTGTCAGACATCGTGAACCTAAGGCAGAACATAGATTCCTTTAATTCCTTCCCAAGAAAGGAGAAGCTTCCTGCACATCAGAGGCTGCCCCTCCGGTGGCAGACTGCATCACAAGCCAATACTATAACTCCCCTGTTATGTCCAGGCTGAGGTCATCTGAGTAACCTGCCATAGGCCCAGGCTAAAGTGCCCCTTATAGCTAGAGCACTGGCACTGTCTGTAGGTTAGGTCAGAGAGAGATCAGAGCATCACCACCTGCATTAAACACATACAAAAAACCTTACTGTGTGTGGGGAGACAGGATCTGTATTGAGCCACAGCCCTTCTACACATCACTAAACTACAGCCCAGTCTGCTTTCCAGGTGCACCACAAGTTCGGAGCATCATCTGTTCAGAGCCTCAACAGATCCCAGACTGTCCATCTGCAGGAGGGAGGCTCAGGAAGCAGTTAACAGCAGCAGCAGTTCCACCACATGGCAGGAGTTACAGTTACTACTGCTAGTTTAGCCTGGAAGGAGTGTTGTTCCACTTTCAGATTATCATCCCCATACCACTGCTCTGCCACTGAAACCCAGGCTTCCAGCTGTTCCCACAGGATAAAGCCAGTCTGACAAGCCAGAAACAGGTTAATACCATGCTGCAGCCTAGACATGGGCATGGGGAAGCAAGCCCCACCACAGAGCTAGCACAACTAGGGCCTGGCAAAGCAGCTCTCTGCCTGACAGCCACAACACTGATGCTGGAAACCAGTATACCAGTCCTACCCACAACCTTTAAGTAACTAGAAAGTGGTATACTGGAGCTGAGTGTGCAGCCCCCTTACTTTGTAAGTTAGTTCATGCTTCATACCAGTCCCTCCCAAGCATCATGCAAGGCCCAGTGAATGACAGAATAGTTTGGGTTGGAAGGGACCTTAAAGCCCATCTAGTTCCAACCCCCCTGCCATGGGCAGGGACACCTTCCCATAGACCAGGTTGCTCCAAGCCTCATCCAGCCTGGCCTCGGACACTTCCAGGGATGGGGCATCCACAGCTGCTCTGGGCAACCTGTCCCGGTGCCTCCCCACCCTCTCTGGGAAGAACTTCTTCCTGATACCTAATCGAAACCTCCCCACTTTCAATTTAAACCCGTTCCCCCTTGTCCTGTCACTACAGGCCCTTGTAAAAAGTCTCCCTCAGCTTCCTTGTAGCCCCTTCAGGCACTGGAAGGCTGCAATAAGGTCTCCCTGGAGCCTTCTCTTCTCCAGGCTGAACAAGCCCAGTTCTCTCAGCCTGTCCCCATGGCAGAGGTGCTCCAGCCCTCTGAGCATCTTTGTGGCCTCCTCTGGACTCAGTCCAACCAGTCTATATCCTTCTTATGCTGTGGGTTCCACAACACAACATGTGAGGAGGCATATGTTATCTGGGAGGCCAGTCAAGCAAAGGTCTGCACTGAGAAGGACCACAGCTGCTAACCTTGATGGCAGCTCTTACCAAAGCTTACTAAAACTTTGCAGGAACAATCTTCTTAATGGCAAGGAGTGCCTCCAGTTAAGTCTGCAGAGCACCATTAAGTTTCTTAAATCCTTTCATAGTGCTGTAAGCCTTGAGTGATACTACCAAGCATGTTTTGAAATAGTGAAACTACACATTTTTAGCTCTACTGGGGAGAGAAGAAAATCTGCTGCAGTGATCGCTTCCTGGAACAGTCCCAGAAAACTGAAGGAGTAGCTTTGTTAGAGCAATTAAAGGAGCCTGCTATTCAAAGAGAAAGAGAATCCAGTTACATAATTGCAGCCCTATGATTACAATATTTCAATTTCTCCACTCCGCACACAGCTGAAGACTGCTATTGCAAGCTTGATTTATACATTTTAGATAGTGTTTAATAGAGCACCACTAATAACATAGCATCAGGAGGAATGACAGGAACTGAGCTCAAATGCCAACAGAGAGCACACGCCCCTAGCACAGCTCTGGAAAAGCCACTTTGAGGCAGTCTGTTCCCCTTCCCCTCCGTGCTGTGGTTTAAGCCAGTGGGTGTTAGTCTGTGATCCAGAAAACCTGGCAGGGCAAGACATGGCTCAGAACAGTTCAACTGCCTGTAGATTTGGATTCACTATCCAGGGATCTGGCAATCTCCTGGAAAAGTCTTCCGGGGGTCCAGCCAACAGGAAAAGGCAAGTAGTAGAAATTCACTTGCAGGTCATTCTTCCAGGAAAGCGTCTTTAGGGAAGGGGGGCAAGCAAGCTTTCACACACATCAAGGCCTCCACACACTTCCACTGCACACCAAGTTCAGAAAGCATCTTGCCATTACATAAGCCGCCATGGAGCAACCTGCAAAAAGCATCTTCTTTCCTCATTGTTTAGGCAAGGAGCATCTCAGTGCAGGCCCATGCTGCCGAGGGCCAACAGCGCCATCAAAAATAAACAATTATCCTTCAGCAGAGCTGCAAGCTCTGGCCAGCCTGCCCTCCCCAGCACCACACTGCTCCAGGACACAGCATCCTTCACAGGCCAACCACGAGGGGGGCTCACAGGTGGAGGGAGGGAGGGTCCCCTGCACCCACTATGGGGCAGCTTCCAGTGCCACCCCATCCACCCACCTGAACACCACAGGGCAGGGCTCAGCTCATTTCCCCCGTGGGGTTAGAAGCATCCTCCCCATCAGACAACCCAGCAGCACCACATACACATCTTATCCCTAAGCCACAAAATCATAGCTGGCCCTCAGGGTCTTGCCACGCGAGTCTGGCGCTCTGAGGAAAAAACACAAAGCCCCAGGATCCAGCCTAGGGCAGAGTAGGCCTTGGAAGGGGTAAAAGTACAGCTATGGCAGCCCCCCCTTCCCCAGCCCAGGGCAGGATGGGATCTTGACAGAAGAAAAGATCACAGCCCTAGCAGCCACTCCAGAGCAGGATGAGGCCTTGGCAAGGCGATTACTAAAACAGCAACCAACCCTTCCCTCACCAGGGTAGGATGAGGTCTTGGAAGGAGTACGAGGCCCAAGTCACTCCACCCAACCACTCCCCAGCAGGGCAGGATGGGGCTCTGCGAGAGGAAAGATGCTCAAACTCAGCACCTTTTCCTTCCCTGACCAGGAGTAGATGCAGCTTTGGGATGGGAATGAGACAAACCCCCACACCCGC